TGCTTTGTTGAGAATATCTGATTTATAAGCAACTTGTAATAAATTTGGGCGTTTTCTGAAAATATTGTGAATGTACAAAGAAGTGGCGATTGAGTGGTGAGAATTTAATAAACTTTGGACAGAAATTTTGATTGAGTTTCGACGCAGTCAATGCATTAATTCAATAAGAATTGGCAGATATGAACTCAAACGAGTGTTCTCTATAGCGAATTGTGAATGTGAATGCGTGGAGAGTTCTGAAAATAATGTTGATGATTATCTCCATCGATAATCAAAAGGAAATTCAACGAAAAAAATTCTTTCACTGCAACCTCTGAGTTTCTGATTGCGCAACAACTCAGTTTCCATTGAAACTTGTATTGAAAGTGCCTCTTGTTGAAATTTTACTGCACTTATTGGAATTCGTTAACTCGATGTTGAAGCGCTCTCAAACGGAAATTATGTGATATCGGGTTGAATGGAACCTTAATCGTGATTGAATGCAACAATAATCGATAAGATTTGCTAAGCTATGAATTAAAATAATGGAATGTTTACACAATGGAAGCAATTGTACTCCCACACGTCAGAAGGTCTGAATGCCTGTTGAGGCACAAACTGAACTCGACAAAAATAAATCAGTTTTCAAAAGATCATTTTCATTTTCAGTTGGGAACGAGAGAGACAAATTGGCTCGAAAGTTCTAGGGCATTGGCTGAATCAGATACGGTAAGTCTACTGATTCACTCACAGCGAGGCGAGCATGCGAGCGAAACTTATAGGAAAATGCTTTATCTTATGATAGAATGAGTCGATGAATCTGAGGGTTATGGTGCTCGTCAGATTTTATTTGCTGCAGATCTTTTTAAGCATTCTTAAAATCTCATATAATATGATACATAATGAATTCATCAAATACGACAGTCGCGACCACATAAAAATCTTACGTCAGTTTATGATATGTCACCACAAAACATTTTCGAAAATAAATTTTTCAATAAATCCGACTCGATTGAATCTATTATCATATACTTATTTTCAAACTTCATGCATTTGATAGTCAGCATAAATGATTCATGCACATGATGCAAATAGGCTTCTTTCCACAACTGTTCAGTCGAATTCAGCATCGAATTCCTCTTAAATAATAAACATTTAATTTTATTCGTCAATTCAATATGAACATCACTGATTTAAAACCGTCGATGAATCGTCGAAAGTCAATAGAGTTCGATATGAAATAAAGGTTCGAAATTCAATTGACGAAAAGTGTCTTCTTCAAGAAAAACACGGAGTCGTGATGTGAAGTCTAACGGCGGTAACACCGACGGTGTCCGAAAGCGTTTCCTGCTGAGTCCAGTAAGTCATCTGAATTCAACTGAGATCAAAAGCAACAATGAAAAGCCCACAACACCGGTTATTTCATCGGATCACATGAGCAATTCTCCATCGAATCCACTCCTCGAAACGCCTGCCTATGAGGATAACTTGAAGAAGGTTTGATTATTTTCGCGTTCTTCAAACGTGGGCCGATATTTCAATCGAAGCCTTTGGGTAGTAATCCATATACGGTTCAGTTCCGTGTCAGTTAATGAGCCAACTTGAAAGCATTATGAAACGATAATTAGGAATGAATTTTGCAGATGCCAAGCGAACGAAGATATTCTGCGATCAGAAGATTCATGTCTCGTTTTTACTCGTGTTTGTGCCCTCCAGATCGTGATTGGACGATCACCTCTGTACAGGTGAGTTCCAATGAACAGCAACAACACATCAAAACAAAATCCATCGAGTGAACTTGTCAAGCTGTAGTAGCAGGCAATATCATCAACAATTTTACAGAAGTGTCACAAACGAAAGCCTAGTTTTGATCATAGACTAACTAAGTGGTTCTCAGGTTGCGGTGCTCCAGTATCCCTTTTGATGATCTGGCAGGTCGCCGTTACCCTCCCCCCCCCCTACCCTTTTTTTGAACATGGAAATCGCATATGTTATGTTCAGATGACCGTTAAGTTCAGTCTTGTTAGCACGTTCATGATGGTGATCGACATCGCTGGGCTTTCTCTTACCGTTAGGTCGTTGTGTTCGTCAGTATTGCAATCGATTATGATAGCATGAAAAGCTATTGACACGCTCACTTCAAACCTATTTACATGGATTCTCATTCTTTTCAGACGTGTTGTATTCACTCTCATA